GCTTGATTTATATATATATATATATATATATATATATATAAATACTCCATCATGTTTCTATGATCTTTTTTTGGGGGGGATTAAATGATAATGGGGCCACATAATGGTCCATTTGGATTGATATAACTCTTTAAATTAATTATTTTACTCCTCAGGATACAGTAATGGACCATCAGCTGTCAGTCTGACGGCTCGACAATATGAATAAACCACTGGTGTGCTGTTGGTTACTAGCTCATGGCAATTATACGTTTTTCTTTCTTTTTTCATAATTTTTCTTGTTCTTTTTCACCCACACACATCATTAGGAATCGAAAAATAAAAGTCCCTGAAATCCTGACCAGAGAACACAAGAAAGGAAAGCACTGTCAAGCAAAGGAAAGAGCAATAATGTGCTGTCACACACTGTGTAGTGAACAGAAGCATGACAGAAGTGTATTTGAGAGAAAGATGAACAAATGTCACTGGGAGGCTCCGGATCTTAGTCGGGGGGTCTGGATCTTTGTGGAAGATCCCTCATTTTCACAACAAACTCTGCGCCGCTTCTGCTTTGGCGTTTAGTTCGTATGTTTGGCAGAGACGACTGAGATGCTTTCTCTGTTTCTGGGTCTGCGTTCATGTCGACAGCAGATGGAGCTTCTCTCTGTATCAGCGACTCAAGTGAAATGCGGCATACGACTGCAAGTGCTGCAACGCAAAGGAATGCATGTAAGATTTCTGCTGAATAAGCAACTCATTATGTTATTTATTATATTTTGGTAGCACTTTCCATGAATAGGGTACAAAAGATGGCTTTACAGTTCCACCACTAGAGGACCAGTGAATTTAATCATCAACCCCAGGAGAACAAACCTAATATTATATGAGCTTTTTATTTGATATGAAATTTGGGTCATACTTTAGTTTGGGGACCAGTTCTCATTATTCACTATTAACTGCGACTTTTGCCCCAATAAACTCCTAATTTGTTGCTTGTTAATAGTAAAGTAGTTGTTTAGTTTAAAATATGGTCATGCAGAATAAGGCATTCGTGTGCTTTGTAAGTGCTAATTAACAACCAATATGCTAGTATGCTAGCAATATGCTAATAAACAACTAGTTATTAGTTACAATTGGTGCCTACACCAAAAAAGTGTTACCAAAATGTGCTAATGGTGCCACCATGTTACCAAAATGTTAATGCTGCAGTCATGTTACCAAAATTATCTAATGCTGCAGCCATGTTACCAAAATTTGCTAATGTTGAAACCATGTTACCAAAACTGACTAACGTTCCATGTTAAAGGGGTGGTTCTGGGGTGCAGTCTAACATGTGTTAATGCTTCGTTTAAAAAAAAAACATTATTTTTCACATAAAATACCTTTATTCCACACCGCTCTGTCCCTTCTCTGAGAAACGGCCTGATCTTTTCCTGTTTTTTTTAAGCCCCTCCCTCAGAAATAGGCGATGGGCTCTGATTGGTTAGCTAGCCCAGTGTGTTGTGATTGGCTAAACCGCCTCTAATCGTCCCGCCCCTCACCTCAGCGGCATGTGCTCCGGTTGTATTGTAAACAACGGCATGGTTAATATCGCTTATCAGTTTGAGCCCGATTGAGAAGCAGAGGATATTAGTGAAGAGGATCGTGCAGAACCTGTGCAAGCACGGCTTTTAATGGTAGGCCTATGCTTTTTTATTGTTGTTTAGATATGCTGTTATTTGTAAATGCTACTGCTTCTGTTAGCTTTTAATATACGGTTTTATGCTCTCAAACGATTAATCGCGATTAATTGCATCCAAAATAAAAAATGTTGTTTACATAATATATGTGTATATATTATGTATATTTATTATGTACATATATATATATATATAAATACAAACACATGCATTCATATATTTAAGAAAAATATGTTATGTTTATACATTAAATATATTTATATATTATATACAATATAAGAATATGAATATATAAATTCATAAACATGTAAATATTTTCAAAATATATACTGCATGGGTATGTATTTATATATACATAATAAATATTCACAGTACACGTACATATATAATATAAACAAAAATAATTATATTGGATGCGATTAATCGCGATTAATCATTTGAAAGCATTAGTACAGACATCTGAAGTTTTCTTTACATGCTCTTTATAAGTGATGGGACATCAAACTAAACCCTATTCATGGATGGTGCCTGGTCATTTATTTGGTGCATAACTAAAAATAGGTCCCACAGATATATAATGAGTCATCAACAGTTCTTCAATCAGTGTTGACCTGTTATGCCCTCTTCTATTCCTAATCTAACTACTCTTCCATTTCATTTACAAATCCAGTGCAATCACTATGAAGTCTAAATGAGATTGAAGTTCATTTCAGAGGAAGATGGTTGAAGAGGTCACTCTGACATCCAACAATAACCATATTTACCGCTTACGTGGCCTTTGCTGCTTTCGTGCATTTCATCCTTTTCCTGCGCATGAGGGTGACCTGAGGCCTCTTCAAGCCGGCGATGAGCAGCAGCAGTCTGGGTCGGGACTTGGTGAGCCAGCTTCTCAGTAGCGTCCCCTTGGGAAACCTGGAAAATATCACATCCCGTGAGTCCACAAACATGTCTGCAAGCACCTCAGTGCTCCTCGGGGAAAGACAAAATAAGTTCACTGACTCCGTCTCATCTGTCAGCTGCTTTGTTATACTCGAAGTTGTACTTAAAATGATTGATTCTTAAACTGAATTTTGGTTTTTGTTTTTTATTGTAAAGCTTGAATCAAAGTTCAAAGCTCTACATAAATAAACCTGACTTCACTGTAATGGTTATTGAGTTATTAATGCTGAACAACATCTGTCAAAATGAATGTGTTTTATTTTATTGACTCAAGCTGTACCATAAACGCATTGATTTGATGCACTGTAAGAAAAAGAAAAATTGTAGGAACAAGGAAAATGTACTGGTTATTTTCTGCCAGGACATTTCGTTTAACCATAACACACAACTCAATGCATATTTCAAAATACAAGTAAAACATATGTGAAACTATTAACACAGTTCATTGTGCTATATTTTTCCTTGAATTAATATTTCTGTTCTACTCAGATAAACCAAGATTATCTGAGTGAATCTGAATTATGAATTGTAAAAATGTATTAAGAATGTCCAGATCATCAGGCGTTTCACCCCATAAAAACGATATATTTTATTGATATAAATGAAATACAAAAATATATACACTATATTCAATACAACTGTATGTTATAAATAACCCATTAGGATTTGTTTCAAAAGGTTTCATTACAATTAAGCATTTCCCCTGTAATTCTCATTAATGTGAAAGAAATATTTACATTTACATAAATACAGTAGTAAGTACAGTAGAGCAGTTAGAACAGTTGTTGTATTTCTATATGCAATTTTATTTATTTATTTATTTATTTACTTATGTACTTGTGTACTTACGTACTTACATATTTACGTACGTACATACTTTTATATTTACGTATTTATGTACTTTCATATTTACATACGTACTGACATTACGTACTTATATATGTACTTACATATTTACGTACTTACACACTTACGTATTACCTAATGCACTTATATTAAGTGGCCTTAACTACTATGTACTTACATCAAAAAATCAGTACAATGTACTTATTGTGTTCATATTGTATTGCAAAACACTTTTGCTGCTATTGAGGGGGGAAACAGGTAAGGTTAGGGGCAGGTTTGGGTAGGTTTAAGGGTGGGTTAAGGTGTAAGGGATGGTTCAACAGTGTAATTATAAATGTAATTACAGAAATGAATTACAGATGTAATTACATGCAGATATTTTTCAAATATAAGTACAATGTAAAAACATGTATGTACACAATAAGTGCATTGTACCAAATGATTAATTTAAATATAAGTACATAGTAGTTAAGGCCACTTAATATAAAGTGGGACCATGGATTTACATATTTACATATATATGCATTTACGAACTTACATATTTACATACATACGTACTTGTGTACTTACGTACTCACGTACTTACGTGTTTACGTATATACATGCTTACGTACTTATATTCTTACGTACTTAATGTATTTAAATACACATTGGACTTGCGTACTTACATATTTACATACGTACTTACATACTTATGTACTTACTTATGTACTTACGTACTTACATATTTACATTTATACAACAGTTCGTTCTGGTTCTCAAATCTGATTGGTTGAGAACCGTGAGATATTGTACTGGTATCGCTACAGGAACGCCCTTTCACAATTTTGTATCACTCCGCTTGTTCTAGCCGGGTCTATGTTTTTTTTTTTTATTATTCACTGAGCTAATCGTAGAGTACGTTAGTTAATATAAGAAGAAACGTCTAGCTTTGCGGTCTCTCTCTCTCTCATTTGGATGCACACCTTGCCGCATTGATTCTCTCTTATAACCTCATTATTTCTCACTAATAACCTAACTGAAGCAGCACATGCCCTTGATACGGATTCTAAAAGTGACGTATGTTTAACTGTCAACTTGAGCTTTGAATCCGTGGCGGAAGGAAGTAGTTCCGCACAAAAGAGGGTTTTATTAGGCACTCCGTTGTTTCTTGTTTAATTACACACATGTTCCGTCGAACTGTTGTATAAACGCAATATCACTCTCGTACTCGAGCGATACCGGCTCTATATGAGCGGCTGTGATTGCCTCGTGTCTCTGGCCTAATCACAGCCATGCTGATATAGAACCGGTATCGCTCTCGTACTCGAGTGATATTGCTCATACGTACTTACATACTTATGGACTTACTTGTGTACTGACGTACTTACATATTTACATACGTACTTATGTAACGAACCTACATATTTACATACGTAATTACATATTTACGTACTTACGTATTTACATACATACGTACTTATGTACTTACGTATTTACGTACTTATGTTCTTACATACGTACTTACATACATACATACTTGCGTACTTACGTACTCATGTACTTACGCACTTCTTACTCACGTACTTACGTACTTTGTACTTATGTACATACGTACTTACTGACGTACTGAAATATGACCTGGATATTTAATGGAAATCCATCTATTTACTCCATATCCAATCATCACTGATAGTGTTTCAATCTTACTGTCCAAGTCTATGGTTCATTGGTCTTTTCTGTCACACTAACAGCTGTAAATCATTGTGTTCCCCATGTCATGTTTAGTCTAAGACGAGTCCTGAGATGCGTCACGCTGTCCAGCAGCTGGAGCTTTACTTTGTCTTGTATGAGTGAGTGCCTGTTTGCTTCTGTTTAATAACATGTTTCATCTACAGAAACACACAGATGAAATCAGATTATTGATGGACTCGTCCAATCAGCACAATCAACGTCTGGAGCGTTTGTGTATCGACGCAATGAATTTAAACAATATTGACTCAACACAATTCACTGCACAGTGCACACACTCAATTTTTCTCCATCACACCTTTTTCCATTAACATTTATACAAAAGTTTATTATTACTATGTTTTTTTTTACAACCAACATTTTATGATATGGTCCCATTTGTTTAAATTAGTGGATGCATTAACTAACATTAACAAAGAGCAAATACATTTATTACAGTATTTATTAATCTTTGTTAATGTTAGTTAATAAAAATACAACTGCTCATTATTAGTTCAACTTAGCTCAATGCCATTTAATAATACTAACACTAACAGATACTTTTGATTTTAATGAATGATTAATGTAAATGCTGAAATTAACATAAAATTAACAAATTAATAAATGACTAAAGTATTTTGATTAATTTCCATTAACATTTATACAAAAGTTTATTATTACTGTTTTTTTTTACAACCAACATTTTATGATATGGTCCCATTTCTTTAAATTAGTGGATGCATTAACTAACATTAACAAAGAGCAAATACATTTATTACAGTATTTATTAATCTTTGTTAATGTTAGTTAATAAAAATACAACTGCTCATTATTAGTTCAACTTAGCTCAATGCCATTTAATAATACTAACACTAACAGATACTTTTGATTTTAATGAATGATTAATGTAAATGCTGAAATTAACATAAAATTAACAAATTAATAAATGACTAAAGTATTTTGATTAACAATACAACTGTTCATCGTTAATGTTAATTAATTTTGTTAGATAACACGAACGTATCTAGCGTAATATTTTCGTATGATAGATTTATTGATATTTTGAATTAGTTTGTATTTTCATATTTTTATTTTACTTAAAGATTTAGTCATTTTGCTGTGTTTTGTCATTTACTATTATTATTACTATTAATTTTATCAGTTTTTATTTCAGGTTTAGTTTGAATTATTTTAGTAACTATTTAGAACTAAATCTGTTTTATTCCATTTTATTTTATTCTATTTTAGCTATCTATAGTTTTAGTTACCTATAATAACCCTGGTTAACAAATGGAAGCTTATTTTGAAAGAGTTAAACAGTTTAAAGAAATACTTTAAAAAGCAAGGGTCAAGATATGTTAAAAAATAGCAAGGGTCAAAAATACACAATTATGTGGCCAAAAAGTCTATTTTTCCACTGCCAGCCATTCAAAAGTTGCCATGTATCAGACAGAATTTAATATTTTGTACAGTAGCACAAAAGAATCATAATGTTTCACCAGTGACCATTTTTAGGGCTCTTAAAAGCATCAAACTACTCTTTTCCCTCCTGACTGCTGCATTATAGAGAGAATCAGTCACATGGCATTTACCACTCAGGTGACTGGCTCTAAGAATGTTTCTGGAATGAAATGCCCATGCAAAGCAAAGATGGCAGCTTCCAGGATTGATCACTCCTGGTATTTAAGACCTCAATGGAAAGATGGCATAATAAAACCTTTAGAAACAGTCCATAGGCATCATACAAGATCTGGAGGTTGACCAGGTAACATATAACCAGGCCAACATTCAATCCAAAAACCCAAAAATCATATACACATCGTTTACAATGCCCTATACCTTCCTGCAAAATATTTTGGCATCAGCTGCCAGTAAAATTCGACTGATTTTACAGCGAAATCAATTAAACACAAGAGGCGAAAACTTCCCATCCTTCTCATTCTCTGCATGATTTCCCTGCAGAACAGAATTTTTTTGGTGTTCCCCCAGAACAGCAGCACAGTACCTCAAGCAGCAACACTCCTCACCGAAGCACCATCTCAAGAAGCCTATAACCTCCTGAAAACCTTCACACACCAAACACTCCCATAACAGGACTTCAGATGAAGGGTGACAGTATAACCCAGCTTTTACACTCGCATCTCGCACATCTGACTGCTGAGCTCAATGGAAAATATAAAACTTCAATTGTTTCAACTTTTGCTGGTTGAGCACGACCCAACGGGCCAGAGAGAGATCTAGCAACGTTTAGACGCACTGTGGCCTCGCTGAAGCCTTTGTTGTTCCCCCAGAGGGGCTCGATGTTAAATGTGGCGAGAGCAACATTGTTTGTTTTGTGGCCTTGTTTTCCTCGTTTTTTTTTTCTTCATCCAATTTTGTCTCTGATGTTAGCACAATATTTCTCCTATAGGAAATCTGGCCGATGTGTTTAGAGTTGACCATTTTGTTTTTGGTCTGTGTTCTCATCCACCAAATTAGCTGCTTCATCAAGGTGTCCAAAATGTTGGGAAGCTTTGTTGATTCATCGTTGTACTGATCCATTTATCTCTTCTTAGATTTCTTCAGTGTTTAGCAGAAACTTCATAGACGGAAGTCTTTTCAAAGTCATTTTGAGATGTCATATCCTAATATTATGTTCACAATATCTTTACTTTCAACTTGAGATTTAGTCCAAAGATTGGCTTCTTCTAAGAAATGTACTAGCAAAAAAAACTTTCTAGTCTTTTCAGATTTTATCAATACAAACATTGACTTTTGAGATGTCATATCCGAATATTATGTTCACAATATCTTGACTTTCAACTTGAGATTTAGTCCAAAAATTGGCTACGTCAAAGAAAAGTACTAGCAAAATTAAAACTACACTCTAAGAAATGCTGGGCTGTTTCAACCCAAATTTGGGTCAAATATGGACTAACCCAACGTTTGGGTTAAAATTTTAATTAAAAAATTTAACCCAACAGTTGGGTTAGTCCATATTTGGCCCAAAGTTGTGTTGAAACAACCCAGCATTTCTTAGAATGTAGCAAAAAACGTTCTAGCAAAACTAAATGTCAGTCTATGCTAGACCAAAAATAAATAAATAAATCGAGAAAAAACAGTATTTCAAACAACTGAAGAACTATAAACACAAACACATTATAATCTTAAATGAAACACAATCAGTCAAACTCAAAATAATGACAATAAAACCAACCAGAACAGCTTTCTCAACTATGAAGCTCTTATAATTAGGCAGTGTATGTCTAAACATAAAACATCACTTAAGTTTATCCAGGTGATCAGCATCTTAATTTAGCAAATAATTACCCTATGAAAAACAGAAAGCGTTTCTTACCAATTGACTCCACACATTTGTTAGGCTATGCCCCCTGCGCCCTGCTAAGCCACATATATGATGCTATGGACTTATTAGTGTCACGCTAGAGAGTTCAACCAGGATGGAAAAAAACAAATCTGCGGGACAAAGGGAAGTGCAGCGGCTCCACAGGGCGGAGCGGGGCTTCAACAGGAGGGTCCACTCAGCACTTCTCTCAGCGAGCAACAACGGATGATCCCGCGCTCCGCACCAATCACAGCGCTCGCTGACCCTGTTTCTATGACAGCCAGGGCCTTGCACTGCTACAGAGGACAGAGAGGTCAGCCAAACTACCATCCTCTGTTGCACATGTGGAAAATAATGTCTTTCGAATGTATTTAACACAGCACCCAACTGCCAAAGGGTTAAAACATATGCCGTACACCAAGTATATGGAGCTTGGGCCCGTAAATTGTGGAAGTAAACACAAACAAGCAAACAAACAACAAACAAAAAGTAAATACATTTTATTGAAACAACAGTATAAAAAGGGAAAAGAGAAATAAATAGGATATGACATGGGCCAGATTTGAACCTGCATTTCCCAGACAAACACCACATGAGCATGTCTGGAGTGCATGCGTTGTGAACATTATTCAAATTCTTTATTGACAACTATAGCATTTATATATTATGTCATGCCATTTAATATGTCAAACAATAAAATCTTAAAAAAAAAAAAACTGTTCAGATTTATACAGTATATTCTATGTACAATGCCTGTGATATCCATTCCTCTGTATTTCACTCTTACGTTTTTATTTTGTTTGTTATTATTATTATTATTATTATAAATTTCCCCTGTAATTGCAAAAAAAAAAAAAAAAAGGAAATAAAACACTGTATTTAAAAAAATAATAACCTTTTTTGAAAGAAGCCTCTTCTTGACCAAGGCTGCATTTATTTGATTTTAAAAATACAATAAAAACAGCACTATTGTGAAATATTACTACAATTTAAAACAGCTGTTTTTTTCTATATAAATACATGTTAAAATGTAATTTATTCCTGCGAGTCAAAGCTGAATTTTCAGCATAATTACTCCAGTCTTCAGTGTCACATGATCCATCAACAATTCAGTAAATACTTATTATAAAATCATAAAATATATGCTGTATACCAAATACATAGATCTTGGGCCCATAAATTATATAAGTAAATACAAACAAATAAATAAATAAACACAGCTCCACATGAGCACATCTGTAGTACATGCATTATGAACATTATTCAAATTCTTTATTGAGAAAATATAGCATTTATATTTATGTTTGTATTATATATGTTATATTTATAACATTTTGTCATGCCATCGAAAAATAAATTCCTTTAAAATATAATCTGTATTTAAATACTAAAAACGACCTGGTCAAATGTCAGTATTTTGGAAAGAAGTGTCTTCTTATAACCAAGGTTGCATTTATTTGATAAAAAAAATACAATAAAAACCATTACATTGTGAAATATTATTACAATTCAATAGCACTGTTTTCTATTTAAAGATATGTAAGGCATTTGCGAACATCACACAAATGAACGAGGGAATCTCCGCATTCCACCTGGAAACTAACATCTCTTCTCAACCATCTGAGAGCCGTAAAGCTGAATCACGGTCAGCCAGGCGCCAATTGTCTCAAATGAGTTCCTGTCCAGCTCTGCTTATCTGTACAAGAAACACCAGGAGAGAGTGATTTACCAAACCACCTCCAGGGTCGACAAGCATTAGGACAGCAATAACTGGACCCCCACCCCATCTAGACTCGTTTAAGCAACAGAATGTCAGTGTGTTTCGTGACCGGCTTCAGCATAAATAAACCAGCTAATAAACAACAGAACAAAGACATGAATAATAATTAATTCCCTTACAAATGAGTTAATTTCATTACAGATATGTTAAAATGTAATTTATTTCTGTGATGCAGCGCTGAATTTTCAGCATCATTACTCCAGTCTTCAGTGTCACATGATCTTCAGAAATCATTCTAATATGCTGATTTGCTGTGTAGTTATTAGTGTATAGTTAATAATAATGGTGCTTGTTTTTACAGAGAACAGTTTTTACAGCTTGATATTTTGATATTTTGATATTTTTTTCCAGGATTCTTTGATGAACAGAGAGTTCAAGAGAACAGCATTTATTTGAAATAGAAATATTCTGTAACATTATAAAAGTCTTTATAATCACTTTTGATAAATTGCATGCATCCTGGCGCAATAAAATATTGAATTGTTTTAAAAAACGGTTTCCACAAAACTATTCTGCAGCACAGCTGTTTTCAACACTGATAATAATCAGAAATGTTTCTTGAGCAGCAAATCAGCATATTAGAATGATTTCTGAAGATCATGTGACACTGAAGACTGGAGTAATGATGCTGAAAATTCAGCGCTGCATCACAGAAATAAATTACAGTTTAACAGATATTCACATAGAAAACACTTATTTTAAATTATTTTAAATTAACACTATTTTTACAATTGAATTCTTATTTCTTTATTTCGATTTTAAGATGAAATCTGAAATATTGTAGCTGCTCTTGGCGCTTCCCTGCAGTGTCTTTTCCGCTCTGTGAGGGGCGGTATGGCACTGCTTGAGACGCTCTTATGAGCCGGTAAAGACCAAACACACCGAGAGGAGGATATTACCGCACATACTGCAGAGGATGGCTGTGTGTATGTGAGAGAGAGAGAGAGAGAGAGAGAGAGAGAGAGAGAGAGCGAGAGAGAGCTGGGGAAGCCTGGCACTGCATTGCAGATCAACAAACGAGAGACAGGAGGAGACTGCAGGAGTCTGCAGTGGGATTCCCTCACCTGTGTGTCTGTGTGTGTTAGTGTGTGGGTGTGTTAGTGTGTTAGTGTGTGTGTACCTGGTATTTATCACGTTATGGGGACCAAATGTCCCCACAAGGATAGTAATACTAGTAAATTTTG